GTGTAACATGATGCAATCTGTTGCACTTCTAGGATTGCAAGATCTCACCATAGCATTACCAGTAATGAAGTTTCCACTAGTTGCTTGTACAGAGCAGCTGCTAAGGCCACATTGTAACTGGCAAAATCCAGATGATATCCTTTCACATGACTAAGTTCCACCAGGAAAAGAAACTGTTTTAGGAACCTGAGTGCACACCACTAGCTCAGATGTAAAGCAAATTCATGCTACAGAGGCCCCTTACTGCACATAAAATTACTGATGTAGATGCACCTCTAATGTGCTTTTAAGAGGCAGGAGCTACAGGACACCACTTCTGTCCAGTTCTCAAGGCAAGTGGTATGAACACTTTCCCAAGAAAGCATGAGGTGGGGGGGCAATTCAAGTTGCTTTTTATTCTCAGTTGGTTCATGCTCCCTCTCCTGTCAGAAGAGACCTAATACTGAACAGTTACAGCTTGATGTGCACGGGGAAGAAGGAACAGGAGCAAAAAGACTGGAGCAAAAAGACGGGAGTAAAATAGCAAGAGTGTGTTGTTCAGCCTAGTAGTAGGGCATATGGGATTGGACTCTTAGGCTGTAGAACTGTGGAAATGGTTGTGATTGGCAGCTGTATGTTTCCTTCTTTTCAATGATTAGGTTATGTAGTGAGATTTCTGACACAGTGAGATGCACAATGCATCACTTTGTTCCAGGTGCTTCAAAAGGGAACTGATATATCATTGCCAAGGAGTGTTTGGGACAGTCGCGGAAACATTCAGTAAGCATTGCATACTTCAAGAAGGCATTTTATTATGATTTTGAATTAGGCACACTGTTGGAGTTTCTTTATCACATTTTGAATCCTGAAATCATTGAGCTAATTTTGTACTATAATCATTACCTTTTAATCCGTGTTTGTCTATAGCTTAATTTTACTTTTTGCATGTATTTTTTTCAAGCCTGAATTCATCACTTGAGTCTTATCTTCTTATCAGATGCCATATATACACTTGCAGTGTTGTAGAGGTTTGAGTTGGAGGCAGGTAAGATCTCACCTGGAAAAAAATGAGAATTAGAGCTCTTTTATTATTATTATTATTTACTGCTTCTGTAAGTTCTGTGTAAGGTGGCCTGTGAACATGTCCAGCTTCAACCACTGAAAAGGCTTCAAAGGACATTACCAGCATCTGTTTCCCAGAGGTGTGCTTGTTATTGATTAGCTCACAAAGAAGGTAATACCTTATCTCTGTCCTCTTCAATTGTCAAATTGAGTTTAGATTGTTCAAGAGATCCATGTAGAAACTTATTTCTGGCTTCCAGTATATCATCCCATCACTGAACAGTCGGATTCTTCAGCATCCCGGTCGCAGGGAACAGAAGCCAAATGGTTATTAGTTGTTTCTGAATGGAATTGAAAACGTCTGCTTGCCCAGGACCCAGCCAAATGAGTTTGTTTGCTGCATCTATATCTTGCCACATCTTTCTAAAGAGTATCTTTAGAATCCAGTTTCTCCTTATTGTATCACTATTTGCTTCCATCCTGACAGCTGAAATCTCCTATTTTCTGCCATCCCCATGTTCTATTCAAAATTTTGTTGCAGTTTCATTCCCTCGGTCTGCTTTCCTAACCACAATTTCCATTTTCTTCTACTTTGCAATTCACCTCATAATCAGCACTCCCAAAACAAAGGCACTTTTTTGCCTACGAAATCCTTCAGCACCAAGATCTAGCTACATATACCTGTACCATGATACAACTTTACAGACACTGAAGCCTGAAGTCTCTCTAGTTTTAAAATGCCAAGTTTAACCTTTGCATACCTCAGGCTACCAAGCTGCATGACAACACTTACTTGACAGAGAATCCAACAAGCTGAATAGACTGCTTCAGAGTTCTCTGTATCTCCGAGTGGTAAAAATATATAAAATTACAAAATCATCAGTTGCCTTGCAGTACAAACCAGTTTCAAGAAAACAATTTGAAAAAAATAATGGCAGTATATTTTAAAAGGAGGATCTGTTCCAGCACCTTGTCATTTCCAATTTCCTCTACGACTGTCAGGTCAGTGTACCCAAGAAAAATTTGAATGGGAAAGTTCACTCTAAATCAACTTACTTTATCCCCAACAGCTGTTCTTTTTATTATTGGACATATTGTTTATTCACTTTACCTTATTTTTATTTATTGCTAGAAAATCTGTCTGAGAACTGACTGACCAAGTCGCTACAGCTTCTATTCTTATTATTTAAATTAATTATATCTCTATTAAAATAGGTGCCATTTTTATCCTATCTGTATTCACTTTCTGTATCTTCTTTCACATCTTGCTGTTACTGCAGTTCATTCTTCTGGTGTCCTGATATAGAAGATCAAAAAGCCGTGAATGCTAAAATATATCCCAGCAATTTCTATTCTAGATCTGACAACTGCTATTTATAGGATAAAATTTTGCTCCTTGTTAAACTGGATGCAGAAAGTGTTATGCCTACAAGGGTATCATGCATATACATCTTGTAGTTCTAAAACCATAAAAAATTGAGATTGGAAGGGGCCTCTGAAGGTCAACTAGTCTACCCTTCTTTAAATTACACAAAGTTAGATCAGGTTTCTCAGGGCCTTGTTCACCTCAGGTTTGAAAATCTCCAAATATGAAGATCCTGGAACTTTTCTAGGGAAACTGTTCATGTGCTTCATCACTCTCATTTTGACTTCTTCCTCCTTATATCCAGCTGGAGTGTCCTTTGTTGCAAATGGGACCTGTTTTTATTCTTGCCCAACCTATCTCTGTCTTTATGAACCAAATTTAGAGCAACAATTAACCAATTCAGTGGACTACGACAACCGTTGCTACTCTAACTTGGATGAAGAAATCATGTTTACCCACAGATTACATGCAAATTCTCCCAAACTGCTTAGTATTGCATAGTACTTGACTTTTGGGTGAAAATTTACAAAGCTTTCAAGTAGTCTGGAAGTCTAGATTTTTTTTATTTCTAATGTTATTCCTTTTAAGAGCTTGAATTTCAGAAAGCCCTTGTTTCTTCTCCCTTTGAAAATGAAACTTTTTATACAAGCAGCTTGAAATGGTGTGATACTGCTGGTGGTGAAACTACCATCATCAATCTGTGTGAGCTCCTGCTCAGCAAAAGCACACTAATACATTCCTCAGTATCCCATGGATGAGTTAGCAGCTACTGAAGAAGTTTCACAGAACTCTTGAGGTAGGACACTTTATTTTATGAAAGGCATTGAAAATGTCTGAAGTTTGGCCAACAAAACTAGAACTACCTGTAATCAGCAGTCATGCTTGAAAATCTTGGCCTCAGTCTTTGTTTATTGCAGTCTTGTGTCAAATAACATGTAAGCAAATAACAAATGAAGCAATTTTCAAGAATTTATAGTACCTTCACCAAATGAGAGGTTTACCTTTCATATCAAAACCCAACCTTAAATCTCTTTAATTTGCAAAACCAAAATAAAATTAAAAGAAAATAAAAAAAAAAATAATAATTCTCAGTTGAGTCTTTCAGCTCCTAAAAAGATTTCCTAAAACTTTAGGAGTCTAACTGCTGACTCCGAATTTCTTCAGGATCTGACCCTAACCTACAAGTAAGTTATAGGCAAGACATGTTTAGGGCAACCTCTTCTTGATCTTGATCTGAGCTTTGACAGAGTTTAGGTTTACTGTCACAAGGAGTGACTAGCTATCAGCCCACCCAGCCTCAGCTCTGTTAAATGCCACATACCTTGCATAGAGGAAGCACTGATTTATTAATGAAGATAGGATGGAATTATGTGAGTGTAGTTCCTTCTTGATGAAAGAAACCATTTCCTGGGTTGCTTAAAAACACTGGGGTAGGTTGCTAGTCTGTTACTGTAGAGATAATTCAGGTTTCAGCATGAGCTGGACTGAGAGATTAATGAGTTTACTTTTTCCCCTGCTTTAGCTGTGCCAGAGTTTATGGCAGGGGAGTTGGCTATGGCATAGCTGGGATGCTTACTAATGCAGACATAAGGACATTTTAATGCAGACGGAGACTGTGATTACCCTATATACTGCTAACCAAAATCCTAATCAACCAGTCAGCAACAACAACCTGCCAGAACCCAGGAAGCCTGTCAGCCTCATGCTTGCAGTCCCCAGGCCACCTAGGGATAGTGAAATGGGTTTATCCAAGAAAGCTAATCTCTTCTGCTTTTCCAAAAAGGTCTGCTCCCTAATGAAAGCAGAAATGTTCATGTAGGTATGGTTCAGACAGGAAAGGAAGGGATGGAAAGGTAAGGCAAGCCAAGGCCAGGCAGGACAAGACAATAAGGGGTAATACTCAAAATCACTCATACCTCTCTGACTTTTGAATTTTTTGTAAGCAAAAACAATTTACTTCCAGATTTGATCTTAAATAACCATCTTGACCTTAAAAAAACCCCACCCACACCATCACATAAGCTAAGCCAGAACTATTTCTCTCTCCAAATGCCTGTTTAAATGTTTAAATACTTGCTGTTTGTTAAAAAATGTGTTTCTAAACACATTTTATCAAGTGAAGGAGATTTGAGAAAAACCAACCGCATTATCCCTGCATTTTTGTAGTTAGGGGAATAATATGTTTTGTTCCATCAATGTGTTCACTTTACATTATTCAGCAAAAAGCTTTGTGAAATAAGAATCATGGGAATATCACAATATAAAGGAAAAAGGTACAAATAACAGCTTCATAAACTGAGAAATGTACATAAATAAATCATGTAGATGGGGGCAGTTTGCTTAGCTGGCAAGAAAAAAAAATGGAAAATATGCTTGTTAAACAATAACCACAGAGTGTGCTTTTATGATGTTTTTCACCACAGTAATTCATATTAGAGATAGAAGCAGTTGCATGTTAAGTAAAATCATTCAGCATTGTTCTCCTTACATTACAAAGAGCTGACTTATGTTGTTTTTAGATGCCTCCCATTAGAAAGTAAATATTCCTCTGATGTTATACATTTCAGAAAATTTAATAAAGATGAACTGTAAATAAAGTCGCAGGGAGATTTCAGACAGTTTTATTAGCAGATTGTTGAAAAGAAAAGAAAATTAAATACAATAACAGTAAACGTGGTTCTCACATTGAAACCAGGCTCAAATAACTAGGCTACCATAGAAAAATTTCGAATTCTTGCATTATGATGTAAAAACAGATTTTTGTACAGATTTTGTACAACAAAATTCGTAATAACCTTTTTTCCTTTTTAGAAAACTTTAAATATATAGATAAAAATAGACAATTTTCATAGGTCCTACATGAAGATGAGTATGTTCTGTTCCAAGGGCTTGCATAGAGCGCAAATGTGGTTATAATATAGAACAACTAGACATTAATATCTTTAAGATTACAAAAGCATATAAACAATAACATGAGCACAACTTTTCTTCATAATCTATGCAAAAAAACCCAAAACAAAACAAAACCCAAATCAAAAACCAAAAACAAAATAACAACCCAAAACCTGTGAAACTAAAGAGGGGCAAAAAAATTCAACTTACGGTAAAATCTCATGGTCTGTAATATTTACACTGTTTTTAGCAAGATTCTTTCTAAACATCCAGCTCATAAATTGGTTCCCCTTTAATACTTAACATTTCTGTTTATGTACCAAGCCAAACACTGAGGCATTCCCAAAGGTCTTGAAAGAATATACTGTAAAACTACTAAACCTACTTACAGGTGACTCTATGCAAGGAGCAGAGCAATGGTAGATGCTACTACATATTTCAGTTGTAGGCTTTTAATTCTCTTTCAGATATGAATGATTCAAAAGCTTGCCACAAGTCCATCTAACTTTACAGCTGTTAACCCTTTAAAGACTGCATATGAAAAAACTGGAGTACAGAATCCCATGTGTGTTTAAGCAACTGTGAAAATCATGAAAGAATCGTGGTTAGAAAATAATATCACTACAAAGTATTAGGCAACAATATTTAATGAAAAATATTGCTCAGTATTTCTTTAAAAAAATTACTGTGATGTGAAGTTGTATATACATCTTTCTATTGTTAAAAAAGGATTGTGGTGGAGTAAATATGAACTGCACAAAATAAATGTCTACCAGTATTGCAAGGAAGACCTACAAACTATAGAAGCTCAGTGCTAGAGTTTACAAAACATTAGATTTTTTTTGACAAAATAATATTAATATCCAATCAGAACTATTTTTAAAGAAATATTTGCTTTAAGTTAGGCATCTTAGACATTTAAGGTTTTGATATGTTTCCATGTAATAAATAATATTTTATATGCATAAAACATTAGATGAAGAAAGCATAATCACAAAACTTACAGTAATAGCACTGATTCACAAAATCAGTCTTTAAAGGGGTAACCCAAAAGTACGCAAAGCAAAGAACATAATTTTTAGTAATGTAATAAGCAGTGTGTTGCAGCTTACTTCCAGTTATCAGCACAAAGGTGAAAACACATATTGTAGCTTTCATAAAGACAGTGAAAGTAACACATAACCATCCATCCCTAAGACAAGGCGGGAGGGACAATAGACTTCAACTGTATCACTCAGTTCTACGTGGAATTGGACTGATACATCAAGTGTTTGTTAGGTTTTCTTTTTTTAGCAACATTGACGCAATATGACATTAACATATAAAAATATTTCTGGCATTTTGACTTGCTGCTCAGCCACAGTCCATTCTTAGAAGTGCACTAGTCAGGGCACTATCCAGAGCTCAATATACAAATAAAAGTGGCTGATACAGAATTCTGACTCGTTACCAGATGCTTAAGATCTCATTCAGTAATACTGTGACTCCAGGACAAATATTTACATGCCTGCATGCGTTAAAACTAGAAAGGTGTCTTTCTGACCAACAGGGTGACAAAACAATATTATCTAAAAGTTTCATTTCCTAAACTCTAGATTTCTACTGCATACATAATACCTTCCTTGTGTGATTTGTGTTATATACTGTACATGTGACCAACATTTTGATAAGAAGCAAAGTCTTTTATTTCATAAACCCCTGCCAGTTTACAATGAGAAATTATTATTGTTTTTTATTGGTTTTTAATTTATTTTATTTTAGGAAAAGAGACTTTGTGAACAGTAAAACAGTTTGTTTACATTCAGCATTTCTTTTCACTTACACAAAATTCCATTTCACTTAATGTAGTCTAACATATATGTGTTGGTCTCTTGGAAAGCATGTGGAAAAAAAGTCTTTAGAAGAAAATTCACCATCATAATTTGAAAACTGAATGTATCAATTTTTTCTTCTTTTACCTTTTTTTTTTTTTTTTTTTTTAAATTAAGAATCCTCTTATGCCCTCTACGAGTTCATTTCTGAGCTGTCTTGCTGGTTTCGGTATGATATAACAGTCTGTAAGTGTAGTTGGACACCACTGGAAGGATCATTTGATGTGCTCAAATATAGAATCATCATCAGAGGAGAGAGTCTGCATTCCTTGAAAAAGGGAATACTCAGCCTTGTTCTGACCACCTGTAATTTTGGATACAATAGTCCGGTGCAGAGATACAGATTTTCGCTGTAAGAAGAGTGCTACTGTACATTTACAAACATTCTCTAGGTCTCCGGGTTGAGCCACAGGAGATAACCAAAGGAGGACACTCTTGCAGAATTCTTTACATTTTCGAAGAACATTGATAAATGAAGTTGAGGAAGTTGGCTTGAAAACACTTTGTTTCCACATAACTCCTTATTAGCCAATGTCTTACTGCAACGTTCTTTACTGTAGAACACGTATTTTCAGCAGGAAAAATTCAATACATGACAGTAGTTTTCAAATAAAGTCTTCCATCTAAAATATGAAAGAGAAACATTTGCTTTATATATTTATACTGCAGTGAATCAAAAAAGAGGAAAAACCCCATAAGATTTAAAATCTCAGCAGAAGTAGTCATGCCATAAATCTGCAAAATGTCACCTACGGTACTTTTTGTCTAAAATAAAAGAAAATCATAAAACCTGAACATCATCAACATAATTTCATCTGACAGTGGTCAAATTAACTCCACTGAAAATTACACACACTTTGCAAGTTGTGAATATTGTAACAACTTCTGAAGCTTTAATATATGCTGCACTCATATCAGTCCTAGGGCACTAGGAATGTAGGTGGAGCCTCTGTGGATGTGTTTTTACTGATATGCAAACTTAAGTGCATAGTGCTGAACAGCAATTATTTCCTTCATGGTTGCAGAGCAAAAAAATCTTCTTGCATGCAATCATTAGTACTCCCATCACTAAAGGCATAGCTCATACTTTCGCATTTAGTGATGTTGTTAAATATACCATGTAATGTAACCATTGTGCACATTTGTAGCTATTTATATAGAACCCAGTATAGGATATTTAATCGGTATCAGCGAAGTATAGCCTCCTTCCCCCCATAAACGAGATTAACTGAACAATTACTATGTTAAAGATGTAAGCATGTTTCTCACAACATTTTTTCCACCCAAGTGAGGAGCATATATTTAAGTGAGATATGTGCAATGGAGAGGAATATGAGCAACAATAAGCTCACCTAGCCAGTAACTGTTGATCTAGAAAAACTTGAAAAGAACGTATTGCCATAACATATTTTCACCTAATTTATAAGTACAAAGCAATCTTTTCTTCAGTGGGGACATTATCATCTTATGTGCATCTATTTTCACAGAAATACAAAGATTATTTTTTAAAGAACAGAAAACAGACAGAAAACTCCTTAATTTTCTGACTTCTATGACAGAAAGTGTTGTTCCCATGTGAGCAAAGCACATTATGAAGCATATTTAACCTCTACATACATTTGCAAGTACAAGTTGTATCTCAGCTTTTAAAGTCCACATGAAACTCTTCTTTAGATCCAAGTGAATTCAGCAATTACTTCAGAGGTTTTTGTTTCTGTTTTGGTTTTCTTAGTCTAACCTTTTTTTTTTTTTCAAAATCAGTCTATAAAATTCTTATTAGATATACAGGAAAACAATCGTGTGAGATAAACCTTTATAAATGAATGCTGAAATTTTTGAAATTATTGGCTACCACTGAAACTTCACTTTCACAAGCGTACTGTAATTGTTGAGGAAAGAAAAGTTTAACTTGCAAGTAGACAGATACACACCACATACAACTGTAAAAAATCATCCCTTCTGCACACCCTTTTCCAGTTCAATCAGAACTGCTGAGGAAAAAAGAGACTGTAGAATCACTCTGCTGCACTAATTCTTGTCTAATGTCTCTCTATTTTCCCTTTTCCACCACTAGTTTTCTTTTGCCAGCTTCTGGGGTGTATGCCCTTTTGCTACTTTCTCCTTGTTTTTACATTTTTCTGCCCTTTTCCCCTACTTTTTTTTTTTTTTTTTTTTTTTTTTTTTTTTGGTAGAGCAGATGATCACTTCCCCACACTTAAAAGCGAAAGGGCTTCCACTCAGAACCATTTTTTACAATGAAGAGAGATAAAAATAAATTGAGTAAGGCCTTAACTTTAAAACTTTTTTATTTCTATTTGAAGCATGGAGAGCAACGAAAATGCTTATGGGAATTCAGGAGAGAAAGAAGGAACCTCTGAAATGGAGCTTGGTAAAACTAAAGGCCTGGAACACATCTCCAAAGAAAACCTGCATCAAGTGCAGGATAGCCAGAGCTACTACTGGCTACATTTCCATGTAATTCTCCCAAACATACTGAATAAACACAATAAACATTTACAGCACTAAAGCTTTCTGGATATCTCTGTAGGAGTATTACTCTGCATATATACCACCACTTTGGCTATCCTGAATGTACACTTGCTAGTGAGTGCTATCCATAATTCCCACACCTGAACATTCCAACAGCCTAAAGTCAGTAACATATTTTATTTTACTATCGTCATCTACCTTTTAAAATGAAATATTTACTAAAACATATTCTCAATTAAAAATAGAACTGCAGAAAGCAGAATCCTTGTAGCAGTCAACAAAAGATGAACAGCTGTACAGTTTCAAAAGTCAGCTCTATTGTACACTGTTAAAGGATCCAACCTGGCAGTGAAGTCAAAAGGAGGTTTTTCACTTTTAAAGGAATCAGATCCTATAGTCTGTATAGTCTGTATATGCAGACAATTAGTAAGAATAGAAATAGGCAGTTTTATGAGGTATCTTCATTATAAAGTGAAAGGATGCTTGTTTTTTATGTAAGTTCTCTTCAAAATCTTCATTAACAACTTGGTCGTAAGACTCAAAGGAATACTAGGGTTGCCGACCACACTAAACTGGGAGGAGCTGTCATCCCCTTCGTGGGCAGAGAGGTCCTGCAGGGAACTTGACAAATTAAAGAGATGGGCAACCAGTAACTGTGTGAAGTTTAATGAGGGCAAGTGCCATATTCTGCACCTGGGACGGAGCTACTCTCTTTTTGTGTATAGACTGGAGAACGAGAGGCTGAAGAGCAGTGCTTCAGAAAGGGACCTGGGGGTCCTGGTCAATGGCAAGTTGAATCTGAGTCAGCAGTGCCCTGACAGCCAGGAGGGCCAACCGTGTCCTGGGGGGCATCAGGCAAAGCATCACCAGCCGGTTGAGGAAGGGAATTGTCCTGCTCTGCTCTGCACTGGTGTGGCCTCAGCTTGAATAGTGTGCAGTTTTGGGCACCACAATATAGGAAGGATATTAAGCTATTAGAGAGTGTCCAAAGGAGGGCAACAAGGACAGTGAAGGGCCTTGATGGGAAGCCGTATGAGGAGTGGCTGAGATTACTTGGTGTGTTCAGCCTGGAGAAGAGGAGACTGAGGGGCGACCTCATTGCAGTCTACAACTTCCTCACAAAGGAAAGAGGAGGGGCAGGTACAGATCTCTTCACTTTCATGACCAGTGACACAACTTGAGGAAATGGCATGAAGATGAGTTAGGGGAGGTTTAGGTTGGATATCAGGAAAAGGTTTTTCACCCAGATGGTGGTTGGGCACTGGAACAGGCTCCCCAGGGAAGCAATCACAACACCAAGCCTGTCTGAGTTTAAGAAGCATTTGGACAACACTTTCAGGCACATGGTGTGACACTTGCGATGTCCTGCGCACGGCCAGGACTTGATGATCTTTATGAGTTCCTTCCAACTCAGTATATTCTATGATTCTATTTATGATGAATATATACAATAAGCATAAATCTTCCTGTTCCTCAAACAACTATATGATGGACAATTAAAAGAGCAATTAAATCATCTGTATTGATAATGGACTTAAAATGTCATATAGGAACTCAGTAGATGATCCAATATCATTGCTAGTTTTATTATAAAGCAAATATATTCTCTTATTAGCGTGTGTAACTAATTCCCCTATCATATGGGAAAATGCAGCACTTGACTTTAAAATAAATCCTTCCATGTTATGACACAGATAAAACAATTCCATGATAAAGTAATACTTACTATGAATTCAAAAATTGCTAAGATTTGTAAAATGTTTTCTTTATTTTCTCAAGATCAGTTGTGCCCACACAGGAAAAAAAAATAAATCAAAGTATCTGTGGAACTGCCTGGCACCCTCTCAAATAATGCATTTGGGAGAATATAGAAAAATCATTTCTTTAGGCTGTATACTTTTCTTCCAGCATGCTCCTGTGTGTGGCTGAGAAGTTCATGTAGCCACTCATGAAGAATGTGCAACAGGTGAATAGCACTGCACTTCAGAAATGCAGAGTCTTCAAACTGTGCTAAGAAAAATGGGTAACTTACAACTCTGCAGAGGAACGACAACCTCACATCACAATGTGGTGACCAAATACAAAACCTATATTTGATTGCTGTCTCTTTCCATTGGAGACTACTATTACCTTCTTCCTATCCATTCCTCTCCCTATTCTCAGTGTTCTGAGGTTCTTCCAAAATGACAAGAACTTCTCAATGTTGATGTCAAAGCCACCAGAATCACTTCGCCTCTAGGTGTAGCCAGAGTTCCTATCTGAATACAAGTGGATTATTGCCACCGATAGGCCTTCAATAATTTCAAGGTTAAAATCACAAGCAAAACCTACAAATCACAAGAGTGATCAGCAAATCAAGCAAGCTCATCCTTTGGTATATTAAGAATGCAAATGCCCAATGGTAGCAAACAAGCTATAATGTCGTGTATGTAGTAGTAGCTTTATAATAGAAATAAAATATAATGATTTGACATTTATTTTTCTCAACAGTCAATGTGAAAATGCTACTACTCCTAAATCCCAAATCATGAGCGTGCCTCTGCCTCCTGCCTCCCTATCAGCTTTTTTTTAACAGCTACATATGCCTGTTGCATTTCTTTCTATTGCTAACAAATGCAGAATTTGCCTATCAGCATAAAAACAATTTTATGTAAAACAAATATGGAATATATTAGTCACAGAAACATATGCATACAAACATATACTACACAAACACACACAGCATTCTCTAAGGATGTTTACAACACTGGGGTATATTTTTAGCCTGCTGAAAACTGTTGATCTGTGGTGGTTTCCCAAATTTACATACTGTTATATACAATATAAATACATAAAACTTACTTTCACTCTTAGGAAGTCAAGCAAAAACACAAATTGGGAAAATCAGAACTGTGCCTGATTAGCAGATTGTCATCTGTTTTAATTGCTCTTTTGCAAATGGCAGTGTTCAGCAAGATCACACAAGCTCATGCTAGTAACTCAAACTGAAAATGCCACTACTAAACATCATTTGTTTTTGTCTGTGGATTGATATGACAGAAATTCTAGCCAGAGTGAGGGAGTATTTTTTTTTATATCAATTCTTTTTAATTAAGACTCATTTTGAGGTTTTTGAATGAACATGCGCAAATAG